AACGATCCACATGTTCGAAAGGACGCTGAGTGCCAGACGTATGCAATTTCGCGAGCCTTCAAGTTAGGGAGGGAACAGGAACTGTAGGATGGGAGAGAAAAGATAACTACGGAGGACAGCAAACCTTGTCACTTCGGACGTAGCCCATGCCAACAGACCTATCCCGCCCGTCTCGATCGTTTGTGTACCCATCTCTGTTCACACGGTGCGACGGCAGTCCAAGCAGCTCGTGAAAGCCCTGCGCGTAGCGCAACTGATTATACAGAATACAATGCTCAATGCTTACTTAGGCAACGAAGTGGTTCAGGGAGGGCGGGTCGGGAAAGAAGAACATCAGGAACACAACACTCAGAAATCACGAGCGCAACACACCTGGCCGAAGACAATACATGCTTTTGCGCCTTTCAAGCTCATGCATGAAGGCTGTGTCAACGAACAAGAGGGCCATCTTCGTAGCCAGCTGCTTAAGATATGCTGCGGCCCGTCGGGCCCACTTCACGCCTGACGGGTCCGCGCCGGACAGGATGATATGGGGCTGTTTCGTGAAACTGCACGGCGCGGGGGGGCAACTCATACACGTTCTAACGATCCAAGATATTGTTGAAATCCCAAACGACATCACCGAGGTCGCCTTTCGCCAACTCGCGCCGTACCCACACATATGAAAGGCACGGAAGTCGACCTCTGGCTTCGACAGAAGACGCTTGAACTCGGGCACCTGCCAGAGGAGACTGGTCTGCGGGTTTCTCCACAGTGAAAGGCACACCAAAGTGCATGGATAGGAGATATAGGAGGTAGGTATGGTATATGAGGTGGTTGGCTTGGTCTAGATTTTCTTGATCAAGTTTACTGCAGTTGGGAAGGCCGTAGACATGCTCACGATTTCGAATAGCGAGCAGTCTAGCAAAAAGAAAGGTCGCACACGGCGGTGCAAGGAGAAGTCCGAAACACAACGGGCTCTTCAGAAGCCCTCGGATACGCGTCTGGACAGCTTTCTTGTGAGATCTCCCCCTGGACCTTGATGGACATCGAAACTGAAACATGTGCAACCGCGTCGACGCACGGCCTCGGTAAATTCACCTTGCCCACTGAAAGTCTCGATACAGAAATGACTCAACTTCTGCCATGCACTATCGGGCTGGAGCCGGCCGACCCGTCGGCTCAGCTCGGCATGCCACGTTCTCTCGCCGGCACGGCAAAAGCGGCGGGCGCCTGGACCGAGGCTGCTTAGACCTCCTGCACCAGCGCCCTCTTCTCGCATCGCCTCACGCTGGCTGTCGAACGCCAGCGCCCTCGCTTCTGCACCTCGGAAAGGCTCGCACGGCCCTCGAGCCTTTCGAGCGAAGCGCCTGCGCGGCGGCCCACGCGCAACACTGGGCTCCACTGTCGCAGCCCCAACTCGAGGCAGGCGCCCAGAGATCTCTCGCGCAACTCGGCCAAGTCGAAGATCCACAACGGGCCTGCTGGCGGCCTTGCGCGGGTGAACTGGATCAAAGCGTCCGCAAGCCAATCGCGGTTGATCAGCAGGCTCTCGTCGACGGCGCCCGTCTTGCTCGGCACTCCATCTTCGGCGGGGTGCAGGATGATGGCCAGGCTGGCCACGTGCTCCTGCAGGGTCAGCTTGACCAGCTAGTTCGGGCGAAGAGCTAGGCATTCCCCTGGTCGCAGGTACGCGCTCACCATCACCAGCCAGCACAGCGCGCAGCCCACGCCGCATCGCCGCATCAGCGCCGTCGCGATCCCCGCCACCACGCACCACGGGGGCGGCCGTCGCGCGAGACCAAGCACCAGCCGTCGCCACCCGCGAAGCGCCCACAGTGCGCGAGGCAGGACTGCCTCTCCCCGATTGCCGCACGCCGGCACGTGGGACTGCACCGCCGCCTGCAACTTCTCGCCCGAGCCTGCCGCCTCCCCCTCCAGGAACATCCTGTCCATGTGGTGCACCATCCTTGCGTCCAGCACTGGAGGTGGGCCCTCGAGGTTGGTCAGGCCCTCCGCGCGCATGATCTTCTCGGTGCAGTCCGAGCACTAGGCCCTGGTCTTGGGCAGCAGCGACGCCTGCTCCAGGATCCCGCGCTGCTGGCTGGCACCCCTCAGCTCCCCGTACTCATTCAAACGGTTGGCGGCCGTTGTGAGCTGGATGCTGCCCAGCTCGTTGGCCGACAAGTCGGCTGCTGCCTCCAGGCGCCCGAAGATCGGACGGCCTCGCGCATGCCCCAGACCTCTGGTCAACCCTGACACCAACACCTTGAGATCCTCGGTGACAGGACCGCTCCAAGACCCGACTCCGCTTCGCTCGAGGAGGCCTTCGTGGTTCCTCGCGAACACAAGTGGCACTTTGGTTCCCTCGTCGAATGCGTCTCTGGGTCGCTACCGCCACCTGAGCCTTCTGGTTGCGCATGTGTGTCCAGGGAATCAGGGGGCGTTGACTTCCCTCGGACGCCGCGGCTGCATGGCGTTTCACGCCGCCGAGATGGTTCATCCGCCGGCTTTGACTCCGACGGCAACCACCTGCCGAGAAATCTCGAGCCAGTGGCAAACATTCAAGCGGCAGCTCGACGATGCAACATCAGCAACGTTGGGCCACGACACCGCCCCTTAGCCAAGGGATAACAGAAGCCCAAGATTATCGCCAATAACGAAGTGAATTTTGCGCCAGCCAGACCGATCACCCAAGAGCCGTTTACGTAAAGGCCCAAGAAAGCCACGCATCTCCGAAATATGGATGGCCCCTGGATTCAAGATGGGCTGGAAATTAGCGGCCCCCAACGCGAGCTCACTCACGAACTCGCGGGGAACCTCTGGGAACGCGGAGTTCACATCTAGGCCGCCTACCTCGGGGTCCACATTCGTTTCCTCCGCCACCAGGCTCGGGGTCGTCGACGAGGCTGGCACACCAGGGGGCCCTCTACTCGATGTCCTCCTTTGCGACGCCATCTTGCATGCCAGCGTCCGATCTTCTTCATCTCGTCTAGCCTGGCCGTGCTCTCGACCATGGCGCGCCCGCTCTCGCGGGCGTCGAAGATTGCAACTCGCGGGTCCCAAGCAGACCCCAGACGCTTCCGATTCAAAATCAACAGGCCTTGCACCATCTTCAACTCGCGCCCCACGCTCGACCAGACCACCTGGGGGCCCGAAAATTTTGCGGACACGAGATCGTAACGCGCCCTCAACGCACGCAAGAACTCCCGACGAAGTAAAGCGATAAACGCGAAACGTCCCAGGAGCCGCCCCCTCTGCTTGCAAGCAATCGCCACTCGGTTTCTCAACAACACCTGGATAGCACACCAGAGCTTCAGCGAGCCAGAAATGCGCACCGTCTGACGCTTGCCATCTCGTTCTACACCGAGGGTGCCCACGTGGGACTCCGCCTCGCTAAAGTCGCGCGTGGCGCACTCTGCCCCCTCCAAGAGCTCGGCAGCACGCCCCCCCCCCCTCCCCCGCCCCCTCTGCATCATGCCCCCCACGCACACACACACACACACACACACACACGCACACACACACACACACACACACACACACACCACCACCACCACCACACACACACCACCACCACCACCACCACCACCACCACCGCCACCACCACCACCACCACCACCACCACCACAACCCTACCCCACCCCCACACCCCACCCCGCCCCGCCCCCCCACCCCACCCCACCCCACACCACTCACCACCACCACCAACAACAACAACAACACATCATCATCAACGCAGAAGGAAGAGGTTGGAAGTCGCATGCTCGCCGACTCTCGTTGAAAGCTGGATCCTGTTCGAGAACGCGCTCATGAACACGCTGCACAATATACCGGGCCCACTTCCACCCCATCGGGATAACCTTAAGCAACGGGAACAACTTCGCATTTGGATCCACGGGGGCGCCCCCTAAGTCAGTCACACCTAGGTCCTCTGCCAGGACAGGGCCCAACCCGAAGGAGAGAAAGCATTCTGCACATCAACGCCCGAAAGGAACAGTTCCCCCCTGGCTCGACACCTACTTCACAAAAGCTAGCCCCAGAGAACAGATGTACATCAGGGGTGTCTTTGAAATGTTGATTCGGGATCCTGCGATCTAGAATGGTACGAATATTATCGTCTTCCTTTTTTACAGTGAACGGGAGGACCATCTCAGTCCGTCTGAGACTAAGCTTAAAGATGTCACATTTGAGACCGTCCTGCAACAACTCTACATGCCTCATAGGTTCGCGAGCAAAAAAAACATCTCTGTGAAGACTGGGGCCCCATCTGCTTCTCTGAAATCGCGCGATTCATTGTTCTGCAGCGCCCAGCGAGAGCCAGGCCCCGCGTTAAAAAGTCCCCTGGTATCCGGGGGGGCCGCGGTCAAGACATTCACTGGCTTGTTCCCGCAAGCGGGCCAACTCACGGCCTCCCGGGCGCAGGGGCGGACCGCGCTGCCGCCGGGCTCCCAGCGAGTAACCCGACAAGGTGCACCCCAGATGCTCTCGCAAGGCTTCCTGGGGAACAAATTTAAGAGGGACAGGGGCATGGCCTCGGCGCAGGCACAAAGCATCTCTGAAAACAAATTCAGACAGTCCCCGCTGGCCAGCAGGCCCCCCAGATGGGCCACTATAACTGGCCAACAAATTGCGCGCACTCATTGACTGACGAGTCATGTCGCGACAAGCGAGGCGCCTCCCAAGCCGACGGCAGGTGCCCCGCGAAAAGGGTCCATCTCGTCGCGGCAACAGCTTAGGAACGGACAGCGGGAACAATCCATCACCTGACTCGGGCGCCGCCTCGCGCCAGTGGACTCCGCCTCTGTGAGCAGCACGGGGGCCGAGGCGCTCCCCCGCGCTGCGGCTCGCCCCTCCTTCCGGCCTCCTCCTGCGGCCTTCAGAGCGGCAGCCTCGTCTCGCGCCATGCGACGCTGCTTCAGCACCTCTGCCCCCTTGCAGTGCATGAATGCGGCGTGCTTCGCCAGCGTCGGGCACAAGGCCACCCCGCGCTTGAGACCACCTGCGCGGTCTCTGCCCAGCTAGCGCTCTAAGCCCTCCACCTGCCACGACCCCGTCGTCTCCTCGCACAGTTGGCATATCCGACTGATCACCTCGAAGGAGCCGATGTTGGACACATCCAGCTGATCATAGCACACACCTAGATCAAGCGCGAGAACCCACAAGTCATGCATCAGATGGGCCGTGCTGTTGCGCTCCACCTTGTGCTCGAGCGCCCACTTGGTCTGCCTCCCGTCGAAAGTGCCGCCATGATCCCGCACATACCGCATCAACCACATGGTGGAACGATCACCCTCGAGCGGGAAGTCCCCCATCGGCTCAGCATGCAT